CTCAGTAATTACCTTTACTCTTCTCTCTATCCCTAACACCATGTCGTAGGATGTAGGAATTCTTGACGCTTTAGCAGAATGCGATGTCAGATGTAGCCTCGGAGCGGATCGCGGATTTTTATCACCTCGAAAACTCACGATTTCACGAAAATTTAGATCTCTTTCGTGCCACGGGTGTTAGAGTGACGTCTTCTAGTATCCCTGGGCGTCTTTTCGGGGTGATATCCGCGAGGGAGTAGACACTCCTCAGATTTGCATCGGCGAGCTTAGGTTTCATGATTCCTTGTGCCGCAACGCACTGCTCTTCGGCGTCTCGAGTTCAGCAGCGCGTGACGACGGCTTCTCCGGACACCGCGCAAGCGGTGGAGAACTTCCCACTCGATCCGAGTGAGATGGAGAAAGGCAGCGTGGTCGAAGGTCTGGGCTCATGTCGAACTTGGTCGTTGGAAGGACTACGAAGTGCTACCAGGTGTAACGGGCCAGGTATTTACTCCGTTACTTGCTTACACTATAGTGTTGAGGAAGCTCGCAATAGGACGACTGAGTCTTAGGTTTAAGGAAAAATCAACTCTGACTTTATTTTAGGACCAAGGCCACAGCCCTGGCCACTCAAATACACGTCATAGTCCAATTGGCTAATAATGGGTCTGGCTCCCCATATATCAGCCAATGGCATGACAGCATTTCAGCACACGCTAGTCGTGTGCTGATGCACCTACTTTTGTAAAGAAATCTACCTACTTATGTAATGGAGGGGCCCATTACAATCGGCGGATCTCGTAGATGGACTCTACTGGCTTCGCACGCCTCTTCGATCAGCAAATGCGGCGACAACTGGAAGGACGGTCGACCTGCATGCGCGTATGGGTCACGCTCCAGTCGAGGTGCTTCGCAAGATGGTCGACAACAAGATGATCAAGGACGCCAAAGCACCTTCCAAGCCTAGCGGACCAAGTCTGTGTCGCGGCTGCCAACAAGGCAAGATGGTCCAAAAACCATTCCCTAGCAACCGTGCAAGCGTCGCTACGACACTTTCGAGTTGCTTCACTTCGACATTTGCGGACCCATGGAGAAGTCCTCGCTTGGTGGCAGCAAATATTTGCTACTGATCGTGGACGAAGCCAGCGGATGCATGAAGGGCTTCTGCCTGCGTGCCAAATCAGAAAGCGAAGACTGCATCAAGACGTACATCACGAAGGTGCAGAAGCAGTTTGGCAAGAAGGTCAAGTTCGTGCGACACGACGGAGCTCGGGAGTTTGCGACTAACTCGCTTAAAGATTTCTACGAAGACGAGGGCATCGAGCAACAAACCACGGTTCCGTACGCGCACCAGACTAACGGCACGGCAGAGCGGGCCATCCGCACCATCGTCACGATCGGCCGCAGCATGCTGCACCATGCCAAGCTGGACAAGTGTTTCTGGGGTGAAGCGGCGATGACGGCCATCTACGTGAAGAACCGCCTGCCGTCTTTAAAGATCGAGTGCAAGACTCCGTTCGAGATTGTGTACAAGTCCGCGCCGAGTGTGAAACACATGCGCGTCTTCGGCTGTCGAGCTTTCATCTTAACTCCGAAGGAGAAACGGCTCAAGTGGGATCCAAAGGCTCGCGCCGGATTGTTCCTGGGCTACGAAGAAGTATCCAAGGCGTATCGACTTTATGACATCGAGGCGGGGCAGGTGGTTATCAGTCGCGATGTCAACTTCGATGAATCGACCTTTGGACTTTCAGAGCCAATTTCCGATGAAGACGTCGACGACCTGGACTTCGAATCTCTCGACATCGACAATGACGGTTCGCGTCAGACGGAGCACAGGCAGGCGGGAAAGCGCAAGAGCCGCCCGAGTGACGAAGATGAATCTACCACAAGACCGCGAACTACGCGTCATCGACCCGGACTGGAAGAAGCAAGTGCGCCGACCAATTCGTCTTCACGTCGAGCAGACGTAAACGAAGAAGAAAAGGCTGGAGATCAAGATGAAGAATCGACTTCCCCCGTGTTTTGGCGTGCAAGTGCCAACGCAGTCGAAGCTGCGGTGGACTTATCGGAGCCAGCGACTTTCCAAGAGGCGGTGAACGGCCCCGACCAAGTGCACTGGCGCAAAGCAATTCGTGCTGAGCTCAAGTCGATGCGACTTCGAGGAGTGTTCCGTGCTGCTAAGTTGCCGAACGGACAACGCGCTATTGGTACCAAGTGGGTGTTCAAGATCAAGCGCAAAGCGGACGGATCGATCGAGAAGTACAAGGCACGCCTTGTGGCCAAGGGCTTCAAGCAAAAGTACGGCATCGACTACACTGAGACGTTCTCGCCGGTTGTCAAGTACGTGACATTGCGCATGGTAATCGCTTTGGCCAAGTACTTTGGCTGACCGCTAGACCAACTAGACGTGGTGACGGCATTCCTGTACGGCGTGATGAGGGAGATCGTGTTTTGCATGGTTCCCGAAGGTGTCGAGCTCGACGGTGACTTCGACTGCCTGGAATTGGTGAAGGCCATTTACGGTATAAAACAAGCTTCGCGCGTGTGGAACGAGACCTTCGACGAGTTCGTATGCTCTATCGGCTTTCAAGTTTCGGCCTCTGACCGGTGCCTCTACATCAAAGTTGTTGATGGCCACTGTGTACTCATACTGGTCTACGTCGACGGAGTCCTGCTCACCGGAAGCTCACCCGAGCTGATCTCACGCACGAAGGACGACACCACACATCAAGACACTTTCGAAATGACTGACAGCGGCAAGTGTGTGTTCGTCCTTGGGATCGAATTGGTAGACGCCCGGGACCGCGCGTGACGATGAGCCAACGGCGTTATGTGGATGACATCCTGAAGCGCTTTGGTATGGACGAGTGCAAGGCTGTGGTAAGTCCGGTGGATATAAGCACTCGACTGGTTCCAAGCGACGCGGCGACCAAGGTACAAGCTCCGTTTCGCGAAGCTGTTGGTGCACTAATGCACCTGATGACCGCGACGCGTCCAGATATTGCGTACGCGGTGGGCTATGTGTCGCGCTTCATGGAGAATCCCCAAGAAGAACACTGGGTTGCGGTCAAGCGCATCTTTCGCTACCTGCAAGGCACCAAGACGCATGGAATCTGCTACAAACCGGGTAACAACATCGACTTTCGCGGATACTCTGACGCAGACTGGGCTGGTGACCTCGCGGACCGCAAGTCGACTTCTGGCTACACGTTCATGCTGATGGGTGCGCCAGTGAGCTGGGGCAGCAAGAAGCAGTCAAGTGTTTCGCTGTCTACGAGCGAAGCGGAGTACATCGCGCTAAGTCTGGCAATTCAAGAAGGCAAGTGGATTCATCGCCTACTGTGCGAGATCTTAGCAGCTGCCAATGAGACTGGACCCGACCTCAAGATCCAAGAAGACAACCAGTCGTGCATCAAGATGACAAAGAATCCTGTGAACCACGGCCGCGCCAAGCACATCGACATCAAGTACCACCACATCCGCGATGAAGTCAAGCGTGGTGAAGTCAAGCTCGAGTATTG